GAGTGTTGGACTCGAGTCTGTCAATCTTGCATACACAACTCTAAAGGATCATGGCTGCAAATGGCAGTATCGAGAGACGACGGTAGTTGGACGGGGAGTTAGGGTCAAGATTTTAGTGAGAGGTAGAGAAAGAGAAGAAGACAGAGTACAGATGAGATGCAAGGGAATTGGATCTAGGGAGCAGGTGGTGGGACGGGAGGACTGGAGCAGAGCAGAAACCTCTTCTGCAGATGGAGTGAGGATAGGGGAAGTATTGAAATGGGAAGAAGAAAGATGAGAGATCTCTTCCCAGATTGTAGAGATTTTGGCAGTGAAGTGAGTTGCAAAGTCTGAGGCGGTCAAGTTAGTAGGTGGAGGAGGAACAATAAGGCAAAGAAGAGAGTTAAATGTGTGAAATAGTCATTTGGGTTCATGGGAGAGTGTGATTATGAGGGTATTGAAGTAAATTACTTTTGCAGAGGAAAGAGTCAAACTGTATGAGCGCAGCATAAATTTATAGTGGAGAAAATCAGATGCACAGTGAGAGTTTCTCTAACAACGTTCACCAGTTCTGGAGCATTTTTGGAGATATCGAGTCAGCTTGGATATTAGGCTTTTTACAGCAGTATTGGGGCTTGATAATTCTGAAATCAAATTTTGCTTTTGCAGACAATTATTGTGTGTGTGTGTGTGTGTATGTATATATATATATATATATATATATATATATATATATATATATATATATATATACATATATGTGTGTACACACGCACATATTATATATATATAATATAAATTTTTAAAAGTAAAACATTTATAAAAAAACTAATAAAATTGCTAATTTTGGCCAGCTTTTGTAGCTACTACAAAAGACTGGAAATACTCCATTTTAAATACCGTGGGTTGTCTACATTTGAAAATGGTATGCTATGATGGGGTTATTTCACATTCCTGGGCTACCATATGGTCTCAAAAGTCATCACAGACCCAGCAAACCAATCTGACAAACTGAATTGGGCAAGCCCTATATTGACCCTGTAACTTTCCAAAACACCATAAAACCTGTACATGGTGGGTATTGTTATACTCGAGAGACTTCGCTCAACACAAATATGAGTGTTTAAAACAGTAAAACTTATTAAAACAATGAAATTACCAGTAAAAGTGCAGTTTTGGGGCAAAAAAATGCAAAAAACAAATATGAACGCTAACTTTGGCAAGCGTTTGTGGCTACTACAAAAGACTGGACATACCCCATTTTGAATACCCTGGGTTGTCTACTTTTTAAAATAGTATGTCATGCTGGGTTTCATTTTCATTTCTGGGCTGCCATACCGACTCAAAGGCAACATAGCCAATCTGGCAAATAGCAATTTACAAAAACAGAAATTGGCAAATCTTATGTTTGACCCTGTAACTTTCCAAATCAGCATAAAACCTTTACTTGTAGGGTACTGTTGTATTTGTGAGACATTACTCTACACAAATATGAGTGTTTTAGAGCAGTAAAATTTATTATACTGATATTATCATCGGTGAAATGGCAGTTTATGTGTGAAAAATGCAAAAAAAACAAATATAAATGCTAAATTTGGCCAGGGTTTTTTTACTACGTGGCTACTGCAAAAGACTGGACATACCCCATTTTGAATATCGTGGGTTGTCTACTTTTACAAATGGTATGCCATGATGGGGTTAATTTTAATTTCTGGGCTGCTATATGGTCTCAAAGGCAGCATAGGCCCAGCAAACCAATTTGCCAAATTTCAATGTGCAAATATGGAAATGGGGAAAGCCCTACATTTGACCCCTGTAAGTTTGCAAAAACCCATAAAACCTGTACATTGGGGGCACTGTTATACTCAGGAGATGTTGCTGAACACATATCGGGGTGTTCTATGTCAGTAACACATAACAGGAATTAAGAATTCATGCCCAAAGTACAATGTGAGATAAAAATAACACAAAAAAATGACTACCCAGAAGTTTGACAAAGACTCATGGTAGAACTAGTGCATGAAAAGTGTTAAAATATAACCATGTGAAATACCCTAGGGCAGGGGTAGGCAACCTTTTAGCAGCACTGTGCCGATATAGGATTGTGAGGTCCCGTAGCGTGCCGATCCTATTTTTAAAAAAAAAAATTTATTGTGGTGTGTATGTTGCCGTATTCTGCTTATTATTTATACTGTAATTGCTTTGCATCATTGTTTTTGTGTGTATATGAGCTATTAGATTGAATATGTTCATTAGTAGTTTATGGTATCGTGTATGATACATATAAATGTGGGCTGTGTATGAGGGCTGCTTGTGGAATTGTGTGTGGATGGATATGTCACATGGTGTGTTTGGTTAGTGTGTGTGGGCTGTTTGGGGTATTGCATGTGAGAGGTTGCATGTGGGGTTGTGTGCATGTATGTGGATTGTGTGTGTTGTGTTTGTGTGTGGGCTGTATTTGTATGAGGGGAGGGTTATTCTGCATTTCTGTGTATATCTAGGATTGTGGGTGGCTTCCCCGGGTTCCAGTGGGGACCAGGCTGGCCAGGTACAGTTCAAGGACAGGAGCTGCAACAGCAGCTGCAGGCTGCTCTACTACATTGTTGATTCCCATTCACAAGTGCTGGGAGGAAGTGATCTGAGATCACTTCCTCTACGTTCTGCAATGCATAAATTGAGGATTGTCCTTCACCACCTTTTTGTATTAGTAGATATCTGAAGTTTCACTGGGACTCCTGATAGGCCAGAGCCTGTTTGGCTCTAGCACCCTTGAGTGCCGTGCAAAGACACCTTGAGTGCCGTGCATGACACTAGTGCCGTAGGTTGCCTACCCCTGCCCTAGGGTGTCTATTTTTCAAAGATATATGGTTTGATGATGGTAAATTATATTGGCCGGCATCAAAAATGTCCCAAATAGGACATGGGTGCATGATGACCAGCTGTGAGAATTCCAAGTTGGAAAACTGGAATGTGCACCCTTCAAATAAGGTCTTTTAGCCCCCAGAGAACCAACACACCTATACATGAGTGGTATCACTGTACTCAGATGTTGCTGAACACATATTGGGGTGTTCCTTGGCAGTAACCCTTAAAGTTCTCAGTACATGTATTCTTAAATTGCTATGTGTGTCAAAAAAATCACCAATTATTATTATTTTTTTTTCAATTTGGCATAGATTGGTGGTAAAATGTTTGCATGAAAAGAGTCAAAATACCCCAAGTTTAATACCTTAGGTTGTCTTCCCTTACAAAATATATACATGTGAAGGGTTATTTATGGATTCCTGACAAATATCAGTGTAATTGTGTTAATTTTGAAATAAAAAATGGTTTGGAAATAGCAAAGTGCTACTTGTATATTAACCTATACCGTTCCCCAAAAAACTAAGAACATGTTAACATTGGGTATTTCTAAACTCAGGACAAAATTTTGAAACTATTTAGCATGGGTGTTTTTTGGTAGTTGTAGATGTGCAACAGATTTTTTTTTAAAGTTAGAAAAAGAAATTTCATCTTATTTTTATAGTAAATTATATGATATAATGGGAATAATTGTATCTTTACACCATTTAAGGATGAGTAAAACGCTATATAATATGTGTGGGTACAGTAAATGAGTAAGAGGAAAACTACAGCTAAATACAAACACCGCGGAAATGTAAAAACAGCCCTGGTTCCCCACAAAAAAATTGAAAGCTGGTCATTAATGGATACTATAGTGTTGGGAATAAAAATATGTATTACTCCCACCCCCATCCAGTAAATAAAGGATTAAAAACCCCTTTATTTACTCACTTGAGGGACATCAGCGCTGAGTCAACACTCCGCCTCCTCCGACATCATCCGATGGGGGGCTAATGTGCATGCATGGCAAATGCACGAGCGCATTAGGCCATTAAATCAATGCTTTCGTATGAGGATTTCACTGATGTTGGATGTCCCTATGTAGAGCTTGAAGACGTCCAGTGTCATTAAAGGGACCGGTAAACTCCAGGATTTGCCTCTACTGGCTGTCTGATAGACAGCCACTATATGCTGTCTTAGTGCTGCAATGTAAGCATTGCATTTTCTGAAAAATGTTAATGTTTTTCATTGCAGGACTAAGGGGGCCAGGGACACTGCACCCAGACCACTTCAGTGAGCTGATCAGGTCTAGGTGCTTATAGTGTCCCTATAAAGACAATTACATCATTATTTAAACCTGAATAGATAAAAATTATTGCTTTCGTGATTTTTTTCCGTTTGAATGCTTTATTCTGTGCTCTGCACTTGTTTTTCTGTACACTCTCATCAAGCAGTTTATTTTTATTCTGTAGGAAAGAATGTGTACGTGATATTTCAGGGGTTTAGTGTTTCTCTCAGTCAGACAATGGGTGGAGTTTCTCAGAGCCGAGTTATCAGGAATTCTATCTAAGTCACAGACACATTGAGCTGTCACTGTATATATACATTGACTTCATTCATTTATCAGCATGGTTTGTGGACTGAGTGTTTATATTCTAACAAGGAGTAGATGCAGAAACAGGCCGCTTATAATTAATTACTACCTGAAAAGACCAGCTATCTTGGTAGGTGCTTATCTTAATGGTATAATCTAGTGGATTAAGTTTTTTTTAACCAGTATTGTTTATACAGGCAATTTATTTTTGAACCTTTTTTTGTTGTTGCTATATTTGACTATTGAGATGTTTTCCTAGTTATATGATGAATCTATTTGTATCTACCGTGCATTTTGTGAATAATTGTAGTTCCACAAAATGTATTAAATAAAAAAATACTTCCTAGAAAATAATATAATTATCTAACAATCTAATAAATTAATGTATCATTTTTATATATGTTAGCATATGCTTTCTTTTATTTATCTTTTTAAATGTAAAAAGATGTAAAAGTGAAATATATACTAATAGTGTATTACAATTTATTTTAATCGGAGAAGACTTGAATCGGAGAGGCAACCTTGACAACGTATACTGGTGGTTGCTGTTACAAGATTTGGGGTGGTTAAACTCGATTTCACAATGCCTCGATTGACTTTCAAAACCAAACAAGCCAAGAAGTCCGGACAGATTTTACGCACTGAGACATTTAAGAAGTCTATCAGGATTCAAAACCAAGACTACCAGACCCTTGTAGAGAAGCATTTGAAGTGTAAGAACTTATTTGAAGATGATGCCTTTCCAGCGGATTTAACATCCATTGGAAGTGAAAATCTTTTACAGAATCTTCCACCATGTGTCACATGGAAAAGGCCACATGTAAGTCAATGGCAGTAGTAATATCTGGACTATTACTACAAAAATTTCAGCATGCTTATGATTAACAGCTGGTGAGAGAAACGTTGTCTGCCATACCTGCTGCATGCTTCCAGTAGTTGTGGAGGCATTGCCAGATAACAGTAGCTTGACCTGGATCATTGAAGGTATTGTCAAACCTGGGAACATGGATGAATAGTGACTTTTAAATCTAATCCTTCCTCTTCCTATAGAGACCGTAAGTTGGCTCTTTTGGTAAAAAATGGGGGGGGGGGGGCAGCTGACAGCAAAAGGGCCAGTCCTGTAATGAATGTAGACAGTAATACCCAAAATGTTGCAGACCTGCTTTCCACAAGCGGAAGAGAGGACTGGTCCAAGTCCCTACAGGGAGCTATTGGACCTGAAGCTTCTGTTGCAAATCAGGCAAGTTCCATAGTGTGGTTACACTTCACAAAATAGCTAGAAGTATAAAGGGGGTAAAACCATTATTTTCCCTAATCTATTGAATATTGATTAGTATGAGTGGATAAAGCAGAGGGAATATTCACTGATAATGCATTCGGTGACCATAGAGGTTCCATTAATCATAGTGGTTCTACATGGGCCAGGGTCTTCTCAATGCAGGATATTGTAACCAGCCACGTAAAAATAAATAGTTCCATGAATCATCCATTTGTTCACTGGCCTAGTAGAAGATGACAATAGACAACTTATTTATACTGGTGTATCATTGCATGAATTAAATGTATATCATTAGAAAAGAAAATAACTTAAATTTTTCAAATTTTCCAGGAACTGGTAAAGAATCCTCAGTTCTTTGCTGATAATGTGAGCAGATTCAAATTACATCAAGGACTCACACAAAACTGCTGGATTTTGGCTGCCCTATCATCACTTACCTTGAACAAGGATATATTAACCAAAGTTGTGCCTCAAAACCAGAGTTTTCAGAAAAACTACACTGGGATCTTCCATTTCAAGGTGAGTACACTCAATCTGCACTACTTAACGTGGAAAGCAGCACAACTGTCATGTCATAAAATATGTTCTCTTCACAGTTCTGGCGTTTTGGTGAATGGATTGACGTGGTAGTGGATGACCGCCTTCCTGTAGATGAAAACGGCAAGCTCATCTTTGTATCGTGTGCCAAAAATAATTTGTTTTGGGGAGCACTCCTGGAGAAAGCCTATGCTAAGTAAGTAAGCATCAGATACTGAGTCTGGTATTAATGCATTATATATTTTACATCATGCAGGTTTGAACAACAATGTTTGCACTTGGCTTCCAATTTATAATAAAACAAAACTAATCAGCAGTCTATACAGAGGATAACTAACATGGTGAATCAGACGGTATCCTAAAGAATTCCATCTATATGCTATTAATGTAGGCTTTATCTTCCTGTGTCTCAGGCTCTGTGGCTCCTATGAAGACATGCAAATTGGTGAAGTATCTGAAGCATTAGTGGACTTTACCGGTGGAGTGAATATCACCATAACATTGTCCAAAGCCCCCGCAGATCTCTGGAATATAATGTTAAGGGCAGCAAACAGTGGGTCCTTAATGGGATGCCAGACTCACTCCGGAGTAAGAGCAATATTTATTATTTTTATTATAAATATTATGTTCTGTCACACTTACTGTATAGGTAGTAAAACATATAGACCCCAGGAGGGACTTATAAACTAATTATTATTATTAATCTTATGATTATGTCAACATCATTACCAAATTACGTTATCATTAATATTATTATTAACCTTATGGTTGCATCAACATAATTACCAAATAATTTTATTTTATTATATTTATATATATATATAATATACAAAGTGTTGTACTCAGTGCTTTACTGTAGACTGTACTGAACCAGAAATTGACAGCAAATGTTGTTGATATTTATATATTATTGTAGTTATGATATGCAGACAGTAGACATCCTTACCCTTGTAGACTTAACAGACACAATTAGATTAAACTATAAAATAGTAAATTAATTTTAATAAACAGAAGTGTATTGTGTTCCATGTTTCATACTACATTTATTAAATTCCTTGTCTCTTTCATTTAGCCTGAAATGATTATGGAGAATGGATTAGTGGCAGGCCACGCGTATGCTGTGACTGGAATCAGAAAGGTACGGGTCTGGCTGTGAACCTCAGCTATCGGGAACACTAGATAAACAAAATAAAGAAGGACAAAACATGGATCAGTTTAAATTAATTGGGAGCTCCAGGCTTACTCATTGTAGGCACACAAATAGCTCATACTAGTATTATTAAAATAACAATTGTTTTTATTAAAAACCACAATGATATTTAATACATGAAAATCAAGTACTACAATTGCAAGCAGTGCTACATTTGATGACTATAGAAATATTTGTGAATTAAATTTGCTGTGATACTTAGCGATCACTCCATCTCTGTCCTTTGTTTCACCAGGTGACCAGCAAATTGGGAGCAGAATATTTAGTGAGATTGAGAAATCCATGGGGAAAGGTTGAATGGAATGGAAATTGGAGTCGCAGGTAACTATAATCTAAGATGCAGTAAGACATGTATTTGGTATAACCCGGTACGTTGCTGAATGGGATGGTACCCGCAGATAATTTGGTGGTATTGGTTATTTTGTTCTGTGATAAGGTAGTCGTTTTGTTTGGGACAAAGAAACGCTAGTATGTATAAAGTCATTATTGCTTTTTTCATCCTACTGCAGGTGCCACATTCATTTAAAAGTTGTAGAAAAGAAAGATTGTTTCATGAGAAGAGAAACTAAAAGTTTTAAAGTTTTACTTTTTTTACATTTTTTTTTCAGATCTCAAAAATGGGAACAACTTAGCTTCAAGGAGAGACTTCTACTTCAAAAGGCAAGGGAAGATGGAGAATTTTGGTAATAATGATAATACAGATAACATTTAAGACTAGGGACTAATGAAAGTATTTAGAAAATTGGGCAGACTAGATGGGCCGAATGGTTCTTATCTGCCGTCACATTCTATTTCTTATAGATAGAGGGATTTGTTATTCCAGATAAACTGAAACCATTTATATATTATTGACATAATCATCAGAGAGTGCAGGTAGTCTCTACACTTACGTCTGAGACTCAATAACCTTCATAATATAAACATATACAGTTAGGTTGTCATGACCCATTAGGTGCTGTGGATTCTGAGGTTTAATCCCTTAAAACTTAAAATTGTGGTGCAAGGGCTCCCAAAATTATTCCTGGATAGACAAATCAATTAATCTGCTGATGTATTGCCTGATTTTCAACCCACACTGGATATTATTTTCCTGATTTTTTTTTTATTTTCTGCACACATAGGATATCCAATGAAGACTTTAAAGACAATTTTGTTGAGCTGGCTATCTGCAAGCTGACTCCTGATCTGATAAGCCAGGAATATGGCAAACAGTGGATGTTATCTATGCAAAGCGGCAAATGGTCTTCTGGGAGCACAGCTGGGGGAGGTAGACATTGCACAGGTATATATCTGCCGTTCCTTGTAGTATGTTAAATGTATACACTTCACTCTGTAGCTGCTCGAATCCTTAATTTCAAGGTGGCACAGTTGGTATCACAAAAATGTTTTATTTTTTTTCCAAAATATTTTTAGAGTCCTATTGGAGAAATCCCCAGTACCGGCTGAAAACTCTCAATGAAGATGATATGGAAAAGAATACAGACTCTTCCCATGTTCTAATATCACTTATTCAGAAACAAAATCACAAACACAGAAACCAATCACCTCTTCTGTTCATTGGAGTATCAATATTTCAGGTAATACATTACTGTGAATACAATGTATAATAGCTAAACACTGTTCTAAAAGTTTATGGGAATTTGCTCTGTAGATAGTTTGGTATCATCAGGCACACGTTACTAGAGCTAATATTATAATAATGCCCAATTACGGACTACTGTGGGTTATGATCTCGAGACACTCAGCTTGCAAGAAGGGTCCAATAATTTACACTAACATTGCTTATCTTTATAACTAGCAGGCCTAAAAAGCCCAGTGCTTGCAATGGCCAGCAGCTGTCCACCTATTAGAAAATCAATGTTGCTGTTAAGCTCCTTATAAACACTCTTTTTAAGATTGTTCAATACTGCTACGTTCTGGCCTGTATCATGTGGTTAAAGTATAATTTTACCTACTGAGCCAATATGTAAAATGTGTTGTTGCAATCATCTGTTATTGCTTTTCATCTTTTTAATACATTGTCTTTTTCTTGTTCACATTTTCTAGGTGCCTCTTGAGGTAAGAACCATATTTTTCTTAATTATTTGAGCTCCAGTTAAGAATATTTAAACAACTGTTATTACTGTAGACAATGGTGGGACATCAAAAGTATATTGAGCTGTTGTTGGGCTTCAGATTATGGAACATACATAATAATAAGATAATGGAGTCTTACAGTATCTTCATTTTCACCATAGCATCAGGACTGTTTACAGAGGAAATTAATGCTAGAACTATAGTCAATTCAGCAGGTTATTCTTAAAAGTTAGAGCACTGTTTGCCAAGCACTTGCAAAATATCAGAATCTAGGGCACAAGGACATTTTAATTTATAAAAACGATGCCCTTAAGCTTCACTTTTTTTGCAATCTTTCATTGTTGGTGAAATGCCCAAAATATCTACATTGGATAGGCAAAGAACATGAATGGGATGATTTCATCTTTAAGGAATTACAAATAAATGTCAGATGATCTAAGGAAAATAGTTGAAAGTTAAAAAAAAAAAAAAAAAAAAGAACATAATTCATATTTTTGTTTTGATTTGTCGCCTACAGCAAAAGTTCTAAACATGGAGCAACCACCAAAAATGAATAGAATCCACAGGAACATTCTATTGACTTTCATGGCATTTGCTCCACTTTTAGAACTTTCCCTTACTTTTCTATTAGTTTTATATTGAATTTGTGATGAATCATATGGCAATATCTGTGGGCCATATACAAATACAATTAACAAAATGTTTTATGATAGTGTGAAGTTTGCTCATTATATGGATAGAGTTATCATATTTTGTAAATCCTTGACGTTCTTTTCCTGCTCTGTACAGTTCCAGGGCACACAAAGCCGGCTTCCTAAATCATTCTTTGTTAACCATAAACCCATAAACAACAAATGTGTTTATGCCAACCATCGTGAAGTGACTCAGTATTTCCACCTGGAACCAGGGTCTTATGTTATTGTTCCTTCGACGTCTACAGTTGACAAAGAAAGTGAATTTCTACTCAGAGTGTTTTCCAGAAAGCACATTTTAGAGTAAGTAGAACTCTTTCTGAAATGAGAATATATGTATTAATTCACAAATCTAAGTGAAGTGTCAAAAGTGAAGATTGAATATGATCATTTTAGTGGACTATGAGGTGCCAAATTGTGGAACCTTAAATTGTGGCAATTTCACCTATTAATTGGAGAGAGACTTAAATGCCAAGAATAGATTACATTTAGTACTATAAAGATAGTTATGGAACTGTAGGTATATAGATACAGTCATACTGTATATGCACACAATTTCTAAATCTGAATATTTTGTATGTGCCATGTGTATGTTTAATGAAAATATCACTAACAAAGCATTGTTAAAATCATTTCAGAGAGCAAAGCGAGAATCCAAACACAGGAGTATGCTGGATGGTAAGCATTTTATATAGAACTTTCATATAAAATATATTCATACCATTTTAGGAAAAATAATAATATATCTAGACAATTACAAATGAGTGCAAAGCAACACAGCTGAACGTATAGCAGATAGATAGCCGTATGAATTAAACTTTACATTCGGACGCCAATCAAACACACTTTCTAATATAGTGACAGGAAGTTAAATAGCATTGGTTTCTTCTTTAGCGACACTGTAAGAACCATCTGATGCAGAACCTCTTTAAGAGGAAGCCTATCAATCAGTGCTGAGGTCCAGTTGATCCGTGTCACCCAGACAGCCCTTTATACTCTTTAAGATGTTTCTTTAGCAGAGAACATTATTAAAACCTATTCATCTAGAAACATAACAAGCCTTTTTCCATTATAAAACAATTTATAATCTGTCATTTATCTTGCTGCTCTCATTTTTCCTCTTAACAGAAAATTGCTGACAAACAAGAAGACAAGATTTGGGAAAACGTCTTCGCCAAATTCTTTGGAAAGGTAAGATCCTACACTGTATTTAATAGATCATACGTGCAAAAACTGGTGTTTAGAAATCAAAGAACTAAAGGTAGTTTCTCCTTTTATTTTTCAAGAATCCAGAAATCAGTTTAATTCAGCTACAGACACTCTTAAGTAAAGGGACCTGGCCAGGTGAGTCTATCTGATTGCTTGTTTTTAGGCAAAATACATGTAAAATGACTCTTTACTCCAGTGCACAATCTGCATATTATAGTCATATGCCACATCAAATGATTCTTGATATGAATTCTGATGTACTGTACACACGCAAGTGGTGTGGGAGATGTGTGTCTCCTGTATGGAGCTTTTCCAATAATGGGAGAGGCAAGATTCTCATAAAATATATAAATGGTTGTTTTTATTCTTAAACAGTAATTTCTCTTTATAGATTTAATTGAATATGTACGGCTAGTTACATTCCCAGCTATATTTGTGGGAATCGGATTTGCTTGATTAGTAAAATATTACAGTGCATATATTTGAAATTCTTATTATTTCACAAATTTACTCTAATTTAATCTCTTTTCAGGTGCAAAGCTATTTGCAACACCATTCAGCTTAGATACCTGCAAAGTAATCATGGCTCAACTTGATGTATCCTTTCTGCTTTTATTTCTGATATTTCAGAGAGTTCCACTTTATATCTCAAACTAGTATTCTGAAACATCAACATAGCTTTCATTCCCAGAACCTTCTTGTGTGCAGCATTCCATTATTAGTAGAGAAATGCCTTCACTAAACATGCATTCATTGCGCTAATAATCAGTTAATTACTTTTATACAATGCCTACGCAAACATTATAAAACACCTATCTAATATTTTCTGCGCTAATTAATTCCAAGTCCGAGACACTGGATTTGTGTCACATTTTAAAGCATCATAGTATTATTTTTGAATACCTTATTAAGTATTTAGTGTGACTTTCCAGTAGATTTTTCTTGGGCTTGTTCAATTCCACACTTTAAATCACGTAACTTGTCTGATAATCCCTTATTTTTGAAATACTTGCAGTATTAATGTTAAATTAAAAATAAAAGCAGTTACAAGCCTTAACTCATTCGAAATACAGTTGAACACATCTGGAACTCTAAATATGGATGAATTCCAAAATTTGTGGGAGAGACTCATTTCATATAAGGTTTGTTTCTACAGATGACTCATTGATTGTATCTATGATAATATATAATAATGTATATATTTATTTGAAGGTTAAAACCTATTTTGCAACGACCCCCAATGGTGACATCGCCACTTAGGGAGGCGATGCCCTAGGGGTGCAGCAGAGGTGTGTTGTACTTACCTACTTTGTCTTATAATATCTTTTGACTGCATTTGAATTTCAGTGAAATTCCACCACAGTCTTTATGAGTTTTATGAGAAAAAAACCCCAACATTTTCTTAAGGGGGGCGTGGGTGTCAAACAGAAGTGTGATTCGGATATCTACCATTCTGTCTTTGAGTGAAGTCAGTTATATATAGCATTAGTACATTATGGAAATTACTGTACTGTAACTTATAATCTGATTGCTTCCATAGGAGATTTTCCAAAGGAGGGATATAAATAGATCTGGATATCTGACAATGATTGACCTCCAGGCTGCAACAGAAGAAAAAGGTAAAATCATTCATTCAGATGAATAAATAAACCCATTAAAAAATAAATATATATATATATATATATATATATATATATATATATATATGTATATATATATATATATATATATTTGTAGTCGGGGCAATATGGCCGAACAGAGAAATCTTAGCATAATACAATCATAACATCCATGAGTATGCACCAGTCAGTTGTGGTGTGCCAGAACCGACAAAGCAGTAGGCCTGTAATAAAAGTGGGCCCACCTTAGAGGGTGTTATAAATAGAGGGAGCGGTGGGAGGGGTGACTCGCCAAACCAGCAACGGTAAGGTGGGAGTGGATTGGCAGCCCCTTTAAAGGTGAACCAAGCCCCTCCCACAACTCCAGGCCAAGCCTTCAAATTTGTAGTCGGGGCAATATGGCCGAACAGAGAAATCTTAGCATAATGCAATCATAACATCCATGAGTATGCACCAGTCAGTTGTGGTGTGCCGGAACCGACAAAGCAGTAGGCCTGTAATAAAAGTGGGCAAAAAGAAAATGACCAGAAAACATAATTCGTGAACCAACTTCGTTTATTGAGATAAGTCACAAAAAGCTTGTCTTAATTCTTTAACAGGATTGGGTATGTAGAGTGTGTAGGCGGAGGATTTCCAGCGCCCCATGGCCTTAATAATATGAGCGGGGACGTGGTTAGCGGATGCGAAAGATGCTGCTCATATACGGAAAGAGTGACCTGAAAATTGATTGGGGTTTAGGCCAAGCCTGGTCAACAGAAGTCTTATGTACAGCATGAATTTAGCTGTGGTCAGAGTGTGTCCATGCAGTTCAAACAAAGGCTGTTGAGGTTGTTTTTGGACTGAAAGTGAATAAGTGTCTAACACTTTAACTGGGCACCATATATTGTGAGTAGGGTACAGTGGTATTTGAATAATGTGTCCGTCGGTGCTGGTTTTGGATTGTCTTAGAGAGAGAATATAATGGTCGGTATGTTTCTGTAGATCATTGGTTCTAAGGTAGTCAGGTGCGGTGATGGTTGTGGTTGTGAATTCGCTAGGCCGGAGGAACCCGTAAAAGGCAAGATATAGTTCTGTTTTGATAGTGCTATTTGTCATGGGTTCGAAAGGAGATGAATCTAATAGGTTGGATAGAGAGTGGAAGATGTTGTTGTCTATAAGTAGTCTTTGTGAGGGAACATGTGTATCTAATTTTTTAATGCCTTTAAGTAATGTTTTAATTTGGTATGAGGTTAGAAAAGCAATACTGTTAGGTTGTTGGATGAGCATATGGTGTTGAATGCCAGGAAGGTACAGTTTAATAGTATTAAAGGATAGTTTAAGGTTAATGTGGCAAAAAGAGGTAAACCCCAAAATCGTCTCTAATGCAAACATGTCGTGAATGTGAAACTCGGTGATAAATTTTTTGAATACGTGAAAGGCCCTATCATAAGTGTCCTTAGTGTTTACTGAGAGTGCCATATGAGAAATGTGACGTGCGTGATCTAACAAGGTCTTTAATCCATGATCATGTCTTGGAATAGAGGTGCAGGTGGAAGCATTGGGTAGTGACGAGAGGAAAGCCTGGAAACGAAACTGAGACAAGTGATCAGCAGCGGTGTTTGTGTACCCCGGGATGTGTATGCATGTTATAAAGAATTGACAAGTGGCTGCTACCCATGTGAGATGCCTTAGCAGTCTCATAATGACCAGTGATGCCGAACGGCCTTTATTGACAATGTGGCATGTAGCCAGGTTATCCGAGTAGCACCTGACCGTGTGGCCAGACCAATATGGCCGAGGTGTCAGAAAATTTGGGTAGTGATTCAACTTCAGTTGGCCAAGGCCCCCAAATCCATTGGTCACCCCAGATGGCGGCAAAGCCTGTGTTAGCTGCGGCATCTGTCCATAATGTAGGTGATGTGTCGGAGGGAGGTGGTATAAACATGGTTTGCCCGTTCCAAGAGGTGAGAAAGACCCGCCACATGCGTAAATCAGAAGTTGCGTGTACATCTAATTTGATATGTGAAGTGTGCAAAGAAAACAGTGGAAACAAGGTTAACAGGTGGGATATAAAAGATTTACCTTGGGGTATGATCCTCATGGCAAAATTGAGCGATCCAAGTAGTGATTGGAGTTCTTTCCGATTGCAATGACCTTGTAGCAGGTAATGTTCAATACTTGCCAGGGTACGCTCAATCTTGTCCTGAGGTAGACTGGCCTGCATGTTTATCGTGTCTAGTTGTATGCCCAAAAATTGGATGTAGGTATCTGGACCCAAAGTTTTGTGAGGAGAGACAGGAATGTTAAAAGATTCAAACAGTGCCAATAAGTGATTCAAACTACTAGGTGGAAGAGTGTTATTCTCAATCAAGAGGAAATCGTCCAGATAGTGGATAACCGAAGGGCACTTGCACACATTTAGTAAGAGCCAACATAGAGCCTCTGCAAACATGTCAAAAATTCGTGGACTGCTTTTGGAGCCAAAAGTTAGTCGGGTGAAAAAATAATACCTCCCTTGCCATTTAATACCGTGTAGATGCCACAGGGAAGGATGTATGGGTAGTAGCTTAAAGGTGTTTACCACGTCTGTTTTACTCAGCCATGCTCCTGTACCTGCTTGTAGAATGGCCCCTATGGCATGGTCGATAGTGGCGTAGTGTAGTGAAAATTCTTCAGAAGGTATTAGAGAGTTTAGGCTGGGGATAGTGGAGGAGTGTGGTGCTGATAAATCAATTATCTGTCTGGGTTTGAGTGAGGTCTTCCCTGTGACAACCCCTAAAGGGTTGGTTCTCCAAGACATGAAGGGTGGGGAAAAGAATGGTCCCAACAGAAACCCTTATTCCAGCTCATTTGAGATAAGAGTATTTACCAACTGTGGATCGTCTAATGTGGACTGTAGGTTGTCGCATTCCAGTGTACCGGAGGGTAAATGGACCAACCCGGTGTGAAATCCCTCAGTCATGCCCAAAATAATATATTCAGTGAAATGACGTGAAGGATGTGGCTGTAAAAGTGATGTCAATAAAGTGACGTTCACACACGTGTGATACGGTTTTGGGAATGCTTTATTTGGGCACATAGTTTTGGCATGGGCCAAAACAGTGTGAACATACATGCATCAGTCTACAGGAACTGAAACCACAATTGCCCACATTGAAGTTATTGCATATCTGAGATTTACCCAGGAATACAATGTCTCTCCCCAGCTTGTCTTTTAATCCCTTGGTAGCTTTAGGAAAGTTAGGGGTAGATTGGTGTTTGGGCAGAGATTTGTGTGGTGTGCTGTAGATGTGCTTAAATTGAACTGAGCCAGAGCTGCAGCCACCTTTGCAGAAAAGGAAGAAAACAGTGTCCGTAAAAAGTAATCGTAAAAAGCGGTACCACCGTATTTGTGCCCCAGGTCCACCATCTTGTGCATGTATGCATCTAGCTCTGCTCTTTTCCCTGGGTATACTGAGCAGTACACATCCCTATAAATCCCAAAACCCAGTACAAATTCAGGGATTGACCGTTTTCTGTTTAGTCTCGGGTCTCTAGACCTTAGTACGACAGATATATCTCCATATGCAAAGGTCCTATTCTCTAGGACATTCTGGGAGGCTATAAGCAATGACACCAGGTTGATATCCTTGCCTTCCAGAATGTCCTTTTTAAGGTGAGATGGGACCATGTGTGAAGGATTAATATCTTCGCTAAGAGACCCTGATTCCAAAGAATTACCAATCATGTCAGCCAGAGGGTGACTGGCAGCAATTGGGTTCGTAGCGGTCTGTTTAGTACCACTTGTTTCCAATTTATCCAGCCTGTCATTAATTGTGCTGATGGATGACATGAGCGAAGTCATCATGGCGTGAAATGTTGGCAATTGTGTGCCACTAGGGCCTTCCCCTGCATCAGAGTTGTCAGTGGCCGTATTCAAAAGTCTGAACAACTCGGCTTTCCTAGCAGTAGCTGGGAAAGGGATGCAGCGTCTTCTGCCGTGAGACCTGTGATGGTCCATGATCTGAGAGAAGCAGGACTAGCAACGTCTGTTCCAGGAACAGGGGTACCAGGCCTAGCGGGAGTGCAGGGTAGCAAGAGTTCCTCGGGGATATCAGGATTATTAGACATAACTGAAAAGTAAGCTTTAATCAATCACTCTGTAATGTTTGATTTGGGTGGGTACTGGTAAGGCTAGCTAAATGCCAAGAGGCAAAACAATTATACTTATTGATGGTGACAGATGAGTCCCTACTAATTGCCAAGCGGCTTGAGCGGCGCTACCTATTCGTGGGCCAGAGGGGAACGTATGAGGCCACCGAACGTTGTGGCGGGGTGTTGGCCTCTCGGTGGTAGTTAAAGCATAAGATAGATTGGGAGTGACAGGTGAGGCCCTCTCTATGCGACAATGCGAGACGGCTAGCTATGATTTGGCCCGAGGGGCGTATTCCTCCGAGTATGAGGAGAGGGGTGTTGGTCTCGCGGGACCACTAGCCTATGGATTAAGACCAGAAACTTTTACCTCGTTGGGTCATATAACCTAGGACCAGTACCCCTCAGAACATGGTAGAGGAGAAAATTGGATTCTGGCGTAGTACCTGATATGTGAGTCAGGTTGCGCTGTCGCGGTAGAAGTAACCAGTGACTGTAAGAGTCTCGAGATGATTACCTGTTGGACATGAGATTTGATATATGAACATGTGATTAAACGTAGTGTTATGGCCAGATCGTGGGCCCTAAAAAACAAGGAACCTACCCGACACTGCAGAGGGTAGATTTAACGAAATTGACAACGGTTTTCGTGCTTGTAAAAGCTACCGTTTGAAGGCAAACAACCTAAAAGAGTAAAATACATGCTTAACTAATGTAATGTGTATCATTGGACTTCATAAAAACATAATTTAAATATCAACCAACCTATAAGAAAATTGATACCAGTGACAGAATTCACAATTCCCAGTACTAACCACTGGGATGACTCTGTGGGGAAAACAAATTCAGGAAATCAGGACCCATCAACTTTGTTTAAAACATTCCTATTTAATAAATAGATTTACTGCAATAACGTTTGTAACCAGTAGGGGCGAAATCCCCATGGAGTACTGTCTGAATTCGTGCTTAATACGTGAGTTAGTGTAGTTGCCGAAAGAAATATATAGAGTGTAGAAACAACCGAATAGATACACCATAATTTACATTCGAAACCAACCGATTGATGTTTAAGCATAATTTAACCGAATGATATCGTTCGTTAGTTTGAACGGTGAACATGCGAATAGCTGAGTGAAGCATTTAAGACGAATGCAATAGTGATACAATAAAACGAACCGAACGTAGATTTGAACCGAATGGGGCTCCGCCGTGTAAAGCAGGGGAATTGCAGTGGTTGCTTTACAGCGAGCCTGACTTACGGTTTTCGTGAAGAAGAGGTAACGAGCGAGCTGTGCGGACGCCGGCAACGGTAAGGAGAGCCAGGGAAGCCCGGACCAGGAGACCACGAGGGAACAGGTAAGGAAAAATCCAAGATGGCGGTCTGAACCGGAAGTAACATTTCAGACTCGCCAGACCAGCAACGGTAAGGTGGGAGTGGATTGGCAGCCCCTTTAAAGGTAAACCAAGCCCCTCCCACAACTCCAGGCCAAGCCTTCAAATATATCAAAGGGGCATTTTATGCACCATAACTGCTACAGCTCATTGGCTCATTGTAGTGTTTATGGTAGTCTCTGTGTGTTGTCCCTAGAGATGTTAGCCTGCTCACAGCCTATATTGCCAAACATAGTTCTATGAAGTTAGCATTCAATTTACCAAACAGCAAGTGTGTTGCCAAGATGCAGGCAATAGAAAAACACCATTTCTTTTTTATTTACCACATTTATTAGATCATACTATATGTAGTGTAATATAAATTTGAACAGCATGTAATAATGCAGGTATTTTTTTTAATAGCAGTGTAATTTGGAATATTAATTTGCCTTTAGTCAAACATCAATATCTATCTACAATACAGAACCTTCATGCAATCAATCAGCTCTAAGACACGTAGAGTTACAATCTATATTGGAAGGGATGTGTTTTTTGTGGTTAGTTGAGAAATTGTCTAAATCTTTGTACCATTGATCGCTCTTCTTTTTTCTCCAATCAAGGAATTACATTAAGTCATCAATTCTCCAACCTAATGATTCTACGATATGGCAACTCATCCCTAGAAGTCGATTATGAAAATTTTGTCTGTTTCATGTTGAGGATGGAGATCAATAGAGGTAAATAAGATCATTATATGTTACAGTCATTACAATGTAATTATTTTCCAGCAGACATTTTCCCACTAGAAGTGCAAATCAGCCTTGGTAAATGGCGTGCAACAAAACTAGACTTAGAAATAAAATTGCATCTTCCATGTTCTTGCAATTTCCAAGTAGAAGTCTACAAATCACAAAGTCCAGAGTAACATTGGTTAAATCCAAGCTTTATGCTCGACTATAGAGTAATTTCCTTTTTAAATAATGTACTGGCCAGGACTGAGTTTCCCATGGGTTGACCTAATTTATTTGCCATCTATAGAAAGACATTTTTTTAAATATTCACAGCTTGTATTTTTATTTTACTAATCTGCTCCAACCATATTGAATATTATATACCAATCTCTTTTTTATTTTCCAGAGCTCTTTCAAAATTTGAGCCATGATGGAAAAGGAATCTATCTGAGGGAGGCAGAGGTAAGTTTGATACACCTTCTGTGTTGGTTGTTATCCAAGCATCTAGAACAGGGATAGGCAACCTTTGGCAATACAGATGCTGTGGACTACATCTCCCATAATGCTCTCACAGCAATAATACTATCAAAGCATTATGGGAGATGTAGTTCACAATATCTGGAGTGCCGAAGGTTGCCTGCCCCTGATCTAGAACATTTACTGGCCTATGTCTTAGTCTGATCATGATAGTTGCACTTAATGTATTTTAGCTTGTTTGTAGCTAAGGTTTTCAAAAGATAATTTGAGTTGTAAAATAAAAACAATCACAGTTGATTTTTTTGTTTTTTTGGAACATTCTGTTATTCTAGTATTTGCTAAAAGTGACAGCATACTGAAATGGAGGCCACACTTGGGTGAAATTGTTAACTGAAATCAAGTGAGATCCTTCGGCACAAAAAACCTCTCAGAATGTCTACTGACCCATGTAATCTGTCCTAGACACTACTTAGACACACTGGCAGCTTTAAAGTTTTGTTTAGTTTTTTACAATAGAACAGACTTCCTTTTATGAAAGATGCACAATGTTTGAGATTAGGACAAACTCTCTGAAGTCTGAATTAGTCTTTGTTTAATGTAACTTGCTGTGGAGTCTTTTTGGTTCTGTTGAAAAATAAAAACTGGTTAACACATTGTCTCCTCTACTTACCACAGTGGATGTTGTTGACTTTGTACTCCTAAGAAATTCAGTCATCCAACGATACAACATTTGCACGATTCCTCAGGATATCTTTATTTTTTTATTTTTTTTATTTTGTTTGTTGAAACCTGGACTTACTTGAAATGTCCACTCCCATGGACATTTCTGACTTACTATGGACGTCTCTATACTGTTTGTTTACATTTTGCTGTTTTTACTTTTTATTATGGTTTGATATATTTATTTTGGAAATAAAATGCCCTTTCAGCTGCTCATAATAACCCAACTAATGGAATTATTCTGTGTTTACAGACATATGTTTACTGTGTTGAATGGTTCAGAGGTCCAGTTAGTCTCAGTAATCATAATGCAGTGATTGAAACCCCTGTAACTGGTTAATTATATTGTGGTTCATTCTATAATAATTGAAGATAGATTAGGCTTAATATGACTTAATCATTTATTTTTCAAGGCCACAATAGTTAGCATTAATTTTACCACGTCAGTGTTCGCTGTTTTTCTCTTCTCCACAAAATAATACACAGCGCATGCAGCATTTTTAATATTTTTTGTTTCACACACAACAGTATAACTAATTAAATTAAAAATGTTAACAATGTTGAGAGATGCAGCTGGATTCTGTTTTCCTCTCTGTTGTGAAATTTGAATGAGTTTTTATATTAAACTTTAAGGTGTTTCTAATTTATTTTTTGCAGTTAAAGTATCATCATGTATATTCTGTTTTGTTTTTTTATAATTCTTTATTTTTGTAGTGCGTGAGCTAATAACAAACTGTTGTGAGGTACCCCAAAGACATTCCTCCAACGCAGTAATGACAGATGAGCATAGAGGTACATGTGAAATCAAGCACAAATTTTAAATTTAAGGGTAGTTGATGAGTAAACAGACAGGATCTTGTCGCTAGATCTGTCACATAACCGAGATTAACATCGCTGAGTTATCTGGACATGTAATGTTTATGCTTTGAAGGGTTTAGCTAGATCTGTTCCCTAACTAAGAATAACATCACTGGGTTACCTAAGCGTGCAAGGCTTTACGAGGTTGAGCTAGATCTGTTACATAACGGAAAATAGCATTGCTTACTTATCTAGAAGTATACATGCCCACTTTTTATATTTAAACAGGTAGTAGTTTTCTGAAGCAAGATTCATCAGGTGTAGCCAACATGTACTGCAACATGTAGGTTATCAAGCAAAGACATTGTGTATTTTCCGGCAGTTACATACTGGGATATATATTAAATTATAAGGTCTATTAATTAAGTATGCATAATGACTGAGATAGCAGTGTTGGGATTAGCTGGGTGTCCCGCTCTAGTGGTCAAGTTACAGGTTGTAATTAAATGATGTCATTATGCAGTTGGGACACTTGTTTAGTCATGGCATGTGTAAGAGTAAATGACATGTTTAATAAGTAAACTTAGCTTATGTAGTGGTTTCAGGGGTTAAACCTAAGATGAGATGTTGGCTAGCAAGCAAACCTGCTGGTGTGAGGAGTCCTGCATGCCAGTCCATATGGGCCTAGCCGATGCCCAGTCTGGGGGCCTTGCCTGCAGCCCTGGGATGAACGTCTATGATGCTTTCCTGCTGGGCTCCAGTGCCTCGTGCCCTTGCTTGTATGTCGCGGCAGTGTATAGCGCGGCTTCGGTCCGATCCCCGTGTGCAGCCAGCTTCTTTTAAAGCAGGGCAGGACGCAGAGGCGACGGCTCATTAGGGGCGAGGTAGGTTCACCCTCCTACCCCAGGCTGGTGTGAGGGCCGACACCTTTAGTCCACGGACCCGGTCTCCTTATTGGTCCGAGTATCTCCCGGAGCGGGGGGACATGATGTTTAGCCGTCGTCTGTGGTGGCCGTCCCTCCTTCCATGTGGGCAGTGTCTCTGGGGCATGCCCCTGGTGGCTCTCGGCCCAGGTAGGCCGGTAACATGAGGTGCAGGCTTGTCAACTAGAGCTAGGCCCGAGGGGGTCCTCCCCGCTCTCCGGCCCTCGCCCCTCCGCTCCTCCACTGTGTTGGAGCGGCATTGTGAGTTGGCGGCTCTCCAGGGTTTCCCAGAGCTTTCGGAAATGCTCATTCAGCCGCTGCAGTACACGGTCTACAGAGCTGAGGGCTGCTGTGTGCTGCTCGTGAGCCAAGTCGCAGACGCAATCTTTGTTCGACACTCCACGCTCGGTTAGGCCCCGTTGCAGGTTTGGAGGTAGGTGTCTTGTCGCTTGTTTAGGCAGTCGAGTAGAGACCAGGATAACCCCCGCCGGTCTGGGGGGGATAGGAGAATGCACAGGTTAGTGAGGCACCAGTGAGCGGGAAGATCGGCCTCTTCTCCCCAGCTCCGGTTCAGCAGGCCGCAGCGGCGTTGTGAAATGTCTCGATTAGGTCGTTAGTTGTGTCGCTGGGTCCCCTTTGGGCTCTATATCGCTTTTTAGTGGCTGAAGTTGCAGGTTAACCAGGGTTAAAACCTCAGAAATTGCGGATTTCAGTGGGAGCTCGGGACACACGCATAAATCTGTTTTTTAATTGTTATTTTATATATTTTTTCAATATTTGTTTTTATATGTTTTTGCTATTTTTTATGGTTAAACTATTTCTTCCTCTATTTGACAAATGTTTTTTGAATGTGATGCTAATTATGATTTTACGTCTGAATTCCTAGATTTTACTATTAACATGACGTAAAGTCATGATTTTATTAAAGACACGGAGGCTCCTATTATGCTTCTCTTTCTTTAATTCTCCCTCAGCAGCGAAGAGAGATTTATGCAAATGAGAGAAAAAATAACAATAACATTAGCATATGGAACAGTGCTCATAGGTATCCACCCCCTTAGTATATAAGGTGTAGCACTCCATGCTTCTTCCTCTTTCTTCCGTGATCCGAAGACCAGATCCATAACCGAACTGTAACTTGGCCCGAACAGGAACAGTGGGCGAAAGGTAATGTCCAATCCTTGAGGTTAGACTGTAACGCTTTGTAACGGAAAATCACCACTTTGACAGTATGATTCAGGCTAAAAGAGAGGAGAAAATATGGTAATATATGGTCGGCAACTGGTTGCATCATGTAACTTCATGTAGGTAAAAACTAAGTCGTATAAAGTAGTAGTCATGTCGACGTATCAAAAGGTAATATAAGATTATGTCTACTATATCACAAAGTCACCTACCTGAGAGACGTATGAGTGCACCTACAGGTATCTACATTGTAGGAGTCCACCTGATCTGTGGTTGGTATCCGTGAGAAAAACCAATCCCTCCACCCAGGGAGGGTGGGAGGGAATAATACTCGCCTCCGTGTCTTTAATAAAATCATGACTTTACGTCATGTTAATAGTAAAATCTAGGAATTTTATTAAAGACACGGAGGCTCCTATTATGCTCTTTCAAAGCTGAGCAATGACTCTTTCCGAAAAATGTTGGATTGGTTTAAAATAGAAATTCCGGAATGTGGATTCCGTAGACCAGTCTGCGGCCTTAAGGATGTCTTCTAACCGGCACCCTACCGTCGAAGCTTTAGAAGCCATAGCGCCTCTGACCGAATGGGCCGAAAAAATTGTAACGTCTATCCCGGCCGAGGCCAATAACCATTTGGCCCAACGGGCGAGAGTAGGTGTGGACACTGGTAGATGCGGTTTCTTTAGTGAAATGAACAACGGGCCGTAGTTTGACGGTCTTAGGGAAGAAGTACGGGTTTCGTATTCTTTTAGGCACAGAATTGGGCATAGCTTTGGTTGGTGCGGGAGGTGTGGATAGAAAACTTGTTTAGTCGCCGATTTAGTTCTTCTTGAAATATCGAAAGACACCCCTTCTGGAGTGAATGATCGGGCTAGCCAGTCCAAAGCCCTTACATCTGATACCCGTTTACAGGATAATAAACATAAAATCATGAGTAGTTTAGCGGACAACTGTTTGATTGACAGTGCCGCGTTGTCGGGCCAGTCTTCCAGGAATTTGAACACTATGTTGACATCCCAAAAGGATCCGTACCTGGGTTTAGGTGGCCGTGAAAAGCGTATACCCTTGAGTAAGCGACATATCAGGGGGTTCTGACCGAGAGGAATCCCGTCCACCGTATCATGGCCTGCTGAGATAGCAGACCTGTAGATGTTGACTGTACGGAATGCCTTGCCCGATTCGAACAATTGAGTGAGGAAGTCCAGTACCGTCTTTACAGAAGCTGATATGGGATCCACTGATCTTTCCAGGCACCAATCGGACCAAGTTCTCCATGCCGTAGCAAATGCGCGCCGTGTTCCCGGTGCCCAGGCGTTCGCCAAGAGTTGGGTAGTTGTTCCCGAAACTTCCGCGATTTCCCAGGGTCCCCGGAAAGGAGCCATGCCATGAGTCGGAGGATTCCCCGTTCTATCAAGTCGTGATTCTCCCCATCCGGGTTGGTTAACAGGGACGTTTGATCCGGTAGCAACCGTGGGAAGTCGATCGCCATTTCCAGAAGGTGAGGGAACCAGGGTTGGCATCTCCAGCACGGTGTTATCAAGACCAACGAGGTTCTGTAGCGTCGAATGTATGTTAGAGTCCGAGCGATCAGGTTGAACGGGGGAAAGGCGTATGCTCGTCCCCCGGTCCAGTCCTGAAGGAAGGCATCTGTCGCCAAGGCTTCCGGGTCCGGTCGCCAGCTGAAAAATTGAGGAAGTTGAGTGTTCAGTCTGGACGCAAAGAGGTCCACACTCAAGGGACCCCATAGTCGAGCTATCCTGGCGAAGACTTTCGGTTGAAGCTTCCAGTCTCCTAAATCCCTCAGATATCGGGAGTTCCAGTCTGCGGTGTAATTGTCCAGGCCTGGTATGTGTTCCGCGGTCACCGACACATTGTTTTGTAAACAGTAATGCCAGAAGTCTCGAGCTAAAACCGCTAGGATGCGTGACTTGGTACCTCCAAGATGATTTATGTACCTGACTGCCGAGATGTTGTCTAACTTGAGGAGGATCGAGCATGAGACGCCCCTGGGTGTGAGGCTGCGAATGGCAAATGAGGCCGCCAGTAGTTCCAGTGAGTTTATGTGCAGGAATGATTCGTTTACTGACCACCTGCCTCCTGTGGATATGGAGCCGCAGCGCGCGCCCCAGCCATGTAAGCTTGCATCCGACTCGATTATCATGTCTGGAGTGGAACCGAAGATCGCCCGTCCATTCCACGCTTCCATGTGGGTTAGCCACCAGTCCAGTTCCTCCCTGGATTCTTCGTCCAGCGTGATGTTGGATTCGTACGACTGACCCTTCCTTAGGCAGGAAGCTTTTAGGCGTTGTAGCGCCCGATAGTGGAGCGGTCCCGGGAAGATCGCCTGTATAGAGGCCGCTAGTAAGCCGATTACCCGAGCCAGTTGTCTTAGAGAAATGTCCGAACGGTTCATTATCCTCCTGATCTCCTTCTTGATGTTGGACATCTTGTCTGAAGGGAGGCACAGGATTTGTTGTACAGAATCGACTCGGAATCCTAGGAATTCCATCTGTTGAGAAGGTTGTAATACCGATTTCTCCCAGTTCACTAGGAAACCAAGGTTCTGCAGGAGGTGAAGGGTCCACGACAGGTGAGACAGCAGAAGGGATCGTGTCCCAGACATTATGAGGATATCGTCCAGATAGATAATGAGGCGAATCCCGTGTAACCTGAGAAATGCTACCACTGGTTTCAGCACTTTCGTAAAGCACCAGGGAGCGGAGGAGAGCCCGAAAGGGAGGCAACAGAAGCGCCATTTCTTTGTGCCCCACCGGAACTGTAGCAGATTCCTGTGTGTTGGTGCTATCGGGATCGTGAGATATGCATCTTGCAGATCGAGTTTCACCATCCAGTCTCCTGGGAGAAGGAGGTCTCGGAGGCAGTGTATGCCCTCCATTTTGAAATGCCGATATTGTATGAAGGCATTGAGGGGTCTCAGGTTGATAACTGGGCGAACACCCCCGCCTTTCTTCGGCACCAAGAACAGGTTGCTTATAAAACCTGGGGTATCTAGAGGAATTTCTTCTATGGCATTTTTGTTGTACAAGGTCTCTATCTCCGTGGAGATGAGGTCATAGTGGGACTGTGGCATGTGTGGCACACGTGGGAGGGAAACCTGAAAGGGAAGACCCGTCAATTCTAGGTGGTAACCCTCTACAGTCTGCAGTACCCAACTGTCGGACGTGATAGTGGCCCAAGTCTGAGAAAACAAAGCCAGTCTGCCCCCCACATTTATATGGGAAAAATGGGGAAAAATCGTACTCACCATAAGGGCGTTTTCCTGGGGTCGTTCCTCTGCCGCCACGGGCATTCCAAGATCTTCCTCGAGAAGGGAAGAACGGAGTGTAGGAACGCTCCTGGTTTTGTCTCTGTGTGTTGGAGGAGCCTCTGCCCGGTCTTGAGAAACCCCGGGGGTTGCGGCCGGATAGGCGGCTCCTACCTCTACCGGCCCCACCGAAAACCTTTTGGTGGAAGACCCTCTTCATGGATGATTGGGCTTTATCCAGCGCCGTGAATGTTTTGACATAGGAGCCCAGGTCTTTGACGAAGGATTCGCCAAACAACAGACCCTTAGCCGTGGCCCCTGGTTCAGAGGAGGCCATACTAGCCAGCTTAGGTTCGATTTTCAGCAGGATGGCCTTCCTGCGTTCTGTTGACATGGCAGTATTGGCATTGCCGATCATGCAGACTAAGCGTTGGAGCCAGCCAAACGCTACTTCAAAGTCTACTGGTGCCTCACCCGACTGAGCTGCTTCCAGCAGTTCGTACAGCTTAGTGACAGGACCCAGAGTGTCTAGGAACTTGTCCTGACAATTACGGAGGGAGTAATCCAGTCCCCTCTTGGCCTTCCAGCCGGTTTTGGCTAGAAACTGGGCTATCTGGGGGTCCACTTCTGGGGTTTTTGCCACAGCATCAGGAATTATGGGTCCGGGGCACTCTGCTCTCAATTTATTACGGCTCTCTTGAGAAAGGGACTTATGTACCCTGAGGGCTAGGTATCGGCTGATGTGCTCGGATGGTTCCCACTCGGCAGAGCGTGGGTGCCGTAAGTTGTCAGGGTCGAATAGCGGAACCTCTTTAGGGTCGCGGGTTGTTTCTGCCTCGGGCGCCCCTGAATGAGCAGGGGTACGCGTTGGTGTCAAGGGGAACTGCTTTCCCTGGAGGCTTTCACCCTCTGAGAGCTCGTCCTCGTACGGGTCAGAGTACGGGGCGTCAGACCCCTCATCCCCCTCCTCGTCTGAGTCAGACAGTATATCATGGGCCTTAGCCCTTTTCCAGTCTCTGGTAGCCGTAGCTCGCCCAGAAG